ATGGCTTACTGCCACCCAGATGGAATAAGCACATGGATTATGTATCTTGAGTCAATTTTCTTCTAATTATTTGCCATTTTATTAAATAGTGATCATATGTCTCTGGAGCTCAGTAGAGCTCAAACGTTTAATGTATTGATAGCTTTCTTGCTGATAAAGGCAGCTTTGGACATGTTTAGAAATTCATTGAGGGAAAATGCATGTTGTTTTGATTGTAAGTCCAGATGTTATCCAAAAAACTTTTCACAGAGGTTGTACTATTATTTTAAGCTTTCCAGGTTGCATTTTTATGCAAGTCCTTAATTTAGCATTTACAAGAGGCAGTTGCACTCTACTTTACCCTTTTCTTTAGCGCTCTGGCCCCACCAGCAGTGATCCCTTTTAAAGTAAGGGGGAAGATAGACTGCAGGTTTGTCTTCTGCTAGCTCTCTTCCAGAAATTAGTTCCTTTTCCTCTGCGGGGAAGTTCTTAATGTGTCTGCAATTGGAAGATGCAACCAAGAATGTTGACTTCATGTTCTTTTTACTAAATGCTTTAATAGAAACTGGCTGACAGTATACTCAAGTAAATGGTACCATGAGGATATTGTCCTAAATGTAATCTTTGAGTTGCTTGCCTGTTGTTTTCTTTAACGTAATTCCTCAAAATAGTTTCATTGTTCTGTGGAAAACAGCAGCTTTTGCTTTTGTCTGCCTCAAACTGGGGAAAAAGAATTGAATATGGAAGTAAGATCACAGCAGGAACCTTATATTATCTTCCCCAGAAACTTTTTTTTTTTGCCTAAGGTGACTTAAATTCAGAGCGAACTGTTCACTAGGTGACTTCTTACAAGTGGGATCTGTACCACCTGATTATAAGCTTGAAGAATCTAGAGAAAAATTTACATTTACATAAATAATTTCACAGGGAAATGTTTTAACTCATAAAATCTTGAAGCAAGGGGCTGTTATAATGATCTACTAAATCTGGCTATATAAATTCAGTGATTTGAGCTGCAGAGCTGACTTTATGTACACAGTTTCTTATAAAAGTTATGTAAAAATGAAAATACAGAAAATTAATGTTAACATGTCAAGTGTATTTTTAATAACTTACTGTCTCCCAAAGATCATTAGTTATTCTAGAAGTTTATTTTGTGTGCCAACATAAAACATTCTTGCTGTCCTGTCTGTAATTTGCTACCATTTTTCTAGTTTTGGTCATCTTGTTGACTGTTTGTGTTGAATAAGACTAGTACAGCTGTTGATGTGAACTGCTGCTCCAGCGTTGGAAATTCACCACTACCTACCTTGACGTGACAGTGGCTTTTAAGTGTTCCTCAACAACTACTGATAAATAAAAATTTATGTACCTGACTGGATAAAGCCCTAAGTGACCTGGCTGAATTTCGTAGCTGACCCTGCTTTGAGCAGGATGTCAGGCTGGAAACCTCCCAAGATCCCTTCCAGCCTGGCTTATTCTGATCCTTGTGTGTATATATATGCGTGAGCGTATAAATTTGTGTGTAATATTTATATATAATTTATAAAGATACATTGAGTGATTTCAGATATAGCTATAATAAATTTTCATTCTGTTGGTTTTCTTTGCCCAGTCTGCCACTAAGAAACCTCGGAAGTCTCCAGCAGACAAGGGTCGTTCTGAATCTGGAGCTAGAGGAGCAAGTCGTGGAAGAGCTAATGGCCACCCTCAGCAGAATGGAGAAGGAGACCCTGTCACTTTGTTTGAGGTGGTTAAGCTGGGGAAGAGTGCTATGCAGGTAAAATAACGAAGTGTGTTATCCCTTCATAATTCAGTATATCCTGACTGTAGAAGTTCAGTCTAAGCTATGCTTCTGTAAATAATTGTATTTTTTCATAACCTGTATTGGTCCAATAGACTGTCAGCGTATGGTAAATTAAGGGATAGAATGTGCTTTGGTTGATTTGAGGACTGTCATATACTTCTGAAAGACAAGAGACAGATCAGAGAGTCAAGTATTTCAAATTCTCCATGATTTTGTTTATTACTTCCAATTGAAAATACATGTTGGTATTAAGCAGTCCATTAAAGAATATCCTTTAATAAGTTTTATATGAAGAAAAAATATATGATATTAGTGATGGATCCAAGGCTTTTTTTTGGTTGCTTCTGCTGACAGAAGCACTTTTGAGTACTTTGCACTGCAGCTTGCATTCTTCTTGCTGTCCCCACCAGAGCAGCAGATGAAGGATAAACTAGTAGCGTAGACTTCCTCTGTGTCTGAGGGACAAAGATGGACACATCCTGAAGGCAGATTTTTCATTGTAAAATAAACATCTAAGATAGTTGTAGTGAAGCGCCTCTGGAAGTGTTTCTTACCCCTTTATGTTTTAATCAATTTCAAAGGTCTTGCGGGATTTATTGGGCCAGATGAGTCCCACCTGAAGAACATCTGCAGATGATTGGTGTTGACAGTACTTATATGCTTTTAGTAAGCTACTGTGCTTCAGCTATTGTTTTTGGCACTCAAAGGAGAAACAATGGGCCCAAACCACTATTTGTCCTGTGCAGTGCAAAGCCAACAGTTGTTCCTACTGGAGGATTGTTTATACAAACCTCCTTTACTTTGCTTCAACAAAACAGGGCTCCTGCAGTATCAGTTAGTTTGTTTTGACTGTCGTGCTAACTAACGTAAGAAAATTACAAATTAAGAAAATTAGGGGCCAAGTCCCATTTTCCATATTACTTTTAGTGTAGCTAAAGGCTAAGCCTAATTAACTCCCAAAAGAATCTAGTCTCCCAAATGAGTGAAAGCTGTTGAAAATTCTCTCTATCTCAAATCTGTGGAAGGTCTGAGATACAATTGTAGAGAAGTAATAAACAGGAAGAAAATGAGAGGTTTTATTCTTCGTAGTTGCTGTATTTACAGTTATTCAAGATTGACCCTTCTTTTCTAGTAGGTGAAGACAGAACAAATTTACTCCTAACAGAGCTACAGATTCCTTGTGCCTCTTATTCCTAAGTGTTTTAAGTCAGGGCTTCCAACTTTTCTTGGTTTTCAACACTTCTTCAAATTTCATTTTTGGCAGGATTTGAGGAAACATCTGGAGTCTATTTTCTGGTTTTGCTGTGGTACAAAACATACAATATGCTTTATGTAGTATGTTTGTCTTAGAGTTATTGATATTTGATGAAAACGAATGGGTGATTGGTTTGGTATTTGATGTCTCTGTGTGTGTGGAATTGACTTTGATACATTTCTTATATTTCAAAAGAGATGCCATCAGAAGTCTTCTGCAAATGAAATTCTAAAAAAAAAAAATTGACTACATGTTTGTATTAAGAAGCCTTTGGAATTCAAATACAGAGGAATTCTTTTGAGAAATTTAGTATTTATATGTGAGTATATGGATGGGTGTGTGTCTGTATATTTGTGTATATATATACATGTGCATATAAACATGTGCCCAGCCTACATATTTGAGGAAGAATTAGACAGCATGTTTTAAGTAGTAGAGAAACGATAAGCAAATAGTAAAGGAATAGGCAAGGTTTTTTTGAAGGCCTGGAATGCAAACAGCCATAAATGACCTGAGCCATATTTAGGAGCATCAGTCCTAATTTCAAGAGTAGGTGTCGCTTGTGCATCTTTGAAAATTTTACTGTTGGTAAAAATATATAAAAAAACCCCAAACCCTATAGTGGGAAAGAGGATGCAATTAAAATGTGTTTTAGTATTTTTTAACTTGCACTTCTGGACAATAATCCCATGTGAAACCAAGGTTCTATAAGCGAAACTCAGAAGAGTCCTTCTACATTTATTTGTCCTTAATAGCTTGGGGCTTTGGATGTAACAACTAGGAATGCTTGGCATTTTTGTTTTTCATAGTGTCAATGCAGGTTTTTTGTGACTAATTTTAGCAATTCTGTTGGTATTGCCAATTTTCAGACAAGTGCCATATATTTGTATTTGTCAGAACCTCTCAACATTTTGTTCTTTTCCTGTAATATGATTCTACATTTTTCTATAGCACTCTTAAGTTTGCTTCTGGCAATGAAACCCCAGAAAAAATCAATTAATATATTCCAAGATTACATGGGAATTTTACTTCATATGCTTTCATTTCTGATCTATCTGCTCCTGCTGTTTGCTTTCAGGCTTTATTTTAGTTGTTCGATTTTTCTGGCTTCGTGTTGCCAGCTCATGGAAGTCTGTAGCTGAGTTCAGTTCTCACTCTTTATAAGTTTGTCCTCTATTTTGGTTCTCATAGCAGGATTCATTTACTACTTCTCTTCAGGCTTATTGCTGTTTGGTTCTTCCAGAGAAACAAAGTTAGGTTAGTATTTTGTATTTCAAGTATACATAACTTCAGAACTGTTCTTTGCGTATAAATCTTTGTCTCTGTTATGAAGTGCTAGTTGTGTCAGTGTTAGGTCTCATTTGAACTCTATAGATCAATTTGATACCCACATTACCTTGGTGTTGGATTGTTGTCCCTTTTTTAATGTGCTCTGTAAGCTTTTGTACAGTTCGTTGCTTCAGAAGTTTTTCTGTTGGCAGCTCTGTGAATGAAGTGTGATATGTCCTGCTGTTCATGATTTCTGCAGGTACATTTTGTTAGTCCATTAAGACTGTTCTTAGAGCTTTTTTTTAGGCTCTATGGTTTGTTTTTTTTTTTCTTAGGCAGACATGATGCTCTTCTGCTTTTTGTCATTTGTGTATCTTTTTTTTTTGCCTTGAATCTTTTTATGGATACAGCTGTATCCACTATATTTCCCCACTCCAAACGTCTGTAGGCAGAACGGATGATATCACCATTGGTCATGTGCTGAACTGCCCAAGTTTACACTGACAGGAGTGAAGGACGAGGGTGAACCTCCGCTCCTCCAGCTGGGCCCCCAGCTTAAACCTTCCTAGGTGCTTCTGCCCTAGCATTAAGCTGGCAGCAAAGTAAAGCGCTTGTAATGATCTCACATTTTATTTAGGCCTCAGTCTGAAAATTTCTCATAAGTAAATTATGACGAATATACAAAGTTTGTACTTCTGTGTTGGTCAAACCAAGTATAGAAGTGTTCTGCATTCTGGTGTGCAAAGGGGATTTGTGCCTCCCCTAGAACATTAGAGAGAATCATCAGTAACCATAAGAGGTGTTCCAATACCAAAACATGAACAGATCTTTGCCTCAATTACCCTGTAGTATTATCTGTATTACCAGTTACCCCTAGTTGATGTTAGGAGTTCACTACAGATTAGATGCTGATTTTGAAAAAAAAAAAAAATAATATTTGACCCCTCTGCTTATGCTCAGCTAATAAAAGTAATCTTGGTGTCGGTTAGACACCGTTCAGAGTAAATATGGCTCCATTATATGCCAACAAGCGTTTTAGGATATCTATCTGAAGAGAGCTTTCTAGTATGTTGAAATGGAATTTTTCATTGTGTCACCAGTTCTTCTTTGTGTCTTCAGAAATCAAGAATGTATGTGGCTCCTCACTGTTCTTGTCTGCACACCTTGGCACGCATGGATTTGAGCCTTTGAGGTTCCATCTGGGTTTGAGTAAAGCTGTATTTGTAGTACTGCTTACCCTGTCATGAGAAGAAGTTTTCTTTTTCTTATGTTTCAGTTCCTTGGATTTTTGTTGTCTTTCCACCTACTGGGCTCATGCTGGCAATCTGTGACTCTCTTTCACACTACTACACTGGCTAGAAAGTTTGTGTGTCAGAGCAGGAAGATCATGAGACCTTTTTTTCCCTTCAGTTGCCTGTCTGAAAGGATTAAAAATCTTTCATTAATATTAATTTCTGAAATGTTAACAATATTTTCAATATTATACTGATTTTCAGTGTTTATCCACATGTCCGTTGCAGACTGAGGTTAAAAATTAGTACATGCAAAAATAAAGGGTATGCATCCATTGTAATGACACGTTTGAGCTGTTGGAAATAATATGATAGAGGTAAAGGAAACACTCTGTCCACTTTCAGCAGTGCTCTTTTTTTGTTCTTTATGTATTAGCTTATTACCGGCATGGTTGCCACTTCCTTTTGTCATAATGTATCAGGTTAGGATGACGTCTAGTCATCAGCATCTGTATCTGAAATTATTTTCTAATATAAATTCCTAGTCTCCGGTATCTTTTTTTATCACTTTGAGATTTGATGATCTGCACAAGAGATGCAAGATAGTCACTTCTTCCAAAAGACCTCATATGTCTTTATGCATCTTGTTAATATGGCATATCCTATGTAATTTTAGTATTTTTTGTATTTTCATAGCATTTAGGGTGGAAACAGACCATTATGGTCTGTATACCACCTCCCTGCGTAGCTCAGACCGTGGAATTGCACCCATTCCTTTATTAAGCCAACAGCTTCTTTTACAACCCTCATTTTTCTATAGTAATAGTAATATTAGTTTCAGTTAATTAGAAGAAGGGTGGGCCAACCTTAGCAACTGTAGCGGTAGAGCCAGACTTTTGAACATCATCGTTCCCCCTCGGGTCTCGCCGCAATACCTGCTCCCCTGTCTTTGCAGTCACAGGTGTCTTGGCTGCTGCCACAGGGGGCTGGGCTGGTGAATGCAAAGCAGGAGGTGGCACTGGCCTTGGAGAAGGCATCTGGTGCCCCCCCAGAGATCAAGGCTGCTCCTTGGGGTGGCTTCTCACATGGAAGGAGGTAGATAGTAGAGCAAGCCCCAGTGACTGCACAGCTTTATCAGCTGGCTCCTAATGCGTTATTTGCTTTGCTTGCTTCTCTCAACTCTCTCAGTTATTTTAATCACATAATGGTTATGCAAT